GTATGTTTGGGCCCCGATTCTTGGGGGCTGATGGAATATTCCAGTGCTGGTACTGGGTCTTACATCTATGGGTCTAGCGCCACTGACGTTTGCAGATTGACCACTGGGGTTTATGGCACTGCTGGTGGCTGCCTCATTTTCAGAGCACCGTATCCTTTTAGGAGGGACACTTTCCTCCTCTGATTCAGTTGCTGATCCACGTTTTTCTATGGGTTCATACAATTAATCAGAATCGGACAGTGAGAGCTCCCTGCTGCTCTCATCTGTCATACTGAGGATTTTGAGCGCCTCCTCACTAGTGTAAACTTGTTTTGACATAGCTGGCTCTGGTAGCACTGGGACAGGTAGGCTGCTGCTGATGTTGGCTGTAGGACAGGTACCCAGGTGATGGTGGCTGTGTGACGGTACTCTGCTGATGGTGGCATTGACGGACAATGTGCAATAGGTGCACTGCTGATTGGCACTGATGGGTGACAGGTGTACTGCTGATGGGCACTGATGAGTGACAGGTACACTGATGGGCAACAGGTACACTGATGGGCACTGATGGGTGACAGTTGCACTGCTAGGCACTGCTGGGTGACAGGTGAATTGGCAAAGAATTTAATAAGCAAAACTTCCCTTTCAATTGATTTAGACTCAATTTAGGTTGAAATCCATCAAACTGAGTCAATCAGTCAGGGTGGAAAATGGTCAATCTTGTGGAATCGATCAGCAGCAATGAAATGCTTTATTTATAAATTTGATTGTATTTCAATCAATCAGATTATGAGATTGCATGGAGAAAACAGAGACGCAATCAATAACATATGTTCATACATTATGTTCCAATTGTTAAATGGAAATCCACTTGCCCATGTGTGTCATATCAACTGAACGGGTTGTTGACTATAAATCAATTATTTCTATTGAGAGAGATTGATTGTAACATGTTAGTTTAACCACTTCCCAACGGTAGGATGTCATTTGACATCCTGGACATTCAGATGATGCATGTATCTACAGGTATCATGCCAGTATCAAAACTTTTTGGTGGTGGTGAATGCTGTAAAACCAATCTTAGTGGCTAAATAGCCAGTGGATTGCTTTTACATGGAGAGGTTCCCCCCTGCCTCCTCCAGGTGCCTTTCTGGACTCTCCCATCCCACCATTGCAACCCAGAACTGAAGCCAATGGTTCCACCAGCTTACCATAGAAATGACCAAGGACTGAAACATCCCCGATCATCTCTATGGTATAAGAAACCTGAAGCAGAGAGATAGGAAGCAGACACTCCCCCCCACAGCCCAGTACTCCAATGAGTGGGAGGGGGCAGAGCAGTGAGTGGTGACTGACAGTCACCGCTCTCTCTTCAGAGTGGCTGTAAGAACTCAGCAATCAGCGGTCATGTGACCACTGAGTTTTTTACCCTTAGAGCCGGCGGGGGACAGATGCAGCATTGGACCAATGCTGCATCCACCTAGGTAAGTATGATTTTTAAATAAAAAAAAAACATTCCCATACTTCTCTTTTTAATGAGTTCCCTAGAATATATTTTGTGTTTATCTGAACAAAAATTGTTTGTTTTAACTTTTTTATTCAGTATAGCTAAGACATTTGCTTGGCCTATAGAATACTGTACCACAGACTTTATAATGCAAGTAGAAACCACTGATGCAGTACAACTTGACTTTACCTTTTTGTACTGGGAGCAATTAGCAAACTTTGCATTTTGTTTCTTATACTGAGTACTAGAAATGAAGCAATTCAAAAAGGAGAAATGCAGGCAGGCTTTCTAATACAGAATATCATTCTGTACTGTAGCAGCCAGACTCCTCTACAGCCATATTAGTAACACAATACATACAGTGTATATATATACAGTGGGGATCGAAAGTTTGGGCACCCCAGCTAAAAATTTGTATTAATGTGCATAAAGAAGCCAAGGAAAGATGGAAAAATCTCCAAAAGGCATCAAATTACAGATTAGACATTCTTATAATATGTCAACAAAAGTTAGATTTTATTTCCATCATTTACACTTTCAAAATAACAGAAAACAAAAAAATGGCGTTTGCAAAAGTTTGGGCACCCTGCAGAATTTATAGCATGCACTGCCCCCTTTGCCAAGCTGAGACCTGCCAGTGTCATGGATTGTTGTCAATCATCATCTGGGAAGACCAGGTGATGTCAATCTCAAAGGTTTTAAATGCCCAGACTCATCTGACCTTGCCCCAACAATCAGCACCATGGGTTCTTCTAAGCAGTTGTCTAGAAAACTGAAACTGAAAATAGTTGACGCTCACAAAGCTGGAGAAGGCTATAAGAAGATAGCAAAGCGTTTTCAGATGTCAATATCCTCTGTTCGGAATGTAATTAAGAAATGGCAGTCATCAGGAACAGTGGATGTTAAAGCAAGATCTGGAAGACCAAGAAAAATAGACAGAACAGCTCGCAGGATTGTGAGAAAAACAATTCAAAACCCACATTTGACTGCACAATCCCTCCAGAAAGATCTGACAGACACTGGAGTTGTGGTACACTATTCCACTATAAAGAGATACTTGTACAAATATGGTCTTCATGGAAGAGTCATCAGAAGAAAACCTCTTCTACGTCCTCACCACAAAAATCATCGTTTGAACTTTGCAAATGAACATATAGACAAGCCTGACACATGTTGGAAACAAGTTCTGTGAACCGATGAGGTTAAAATTGAACTTTTTGGCCGGAATGAGCAAAGGTACGTTTGGAGAAGAAGGGGCACAGAATTTAATGAAAAGAACCTCTGTCCAACTGTTAAGCATGGGGTTGGATCAATCATGCTTTGGGGTTGTGTTGCAGCCAGTGGCACAGGGAACATCTCACGAGTAGAAGGAAAAATGGATTCAATAAAATTTCAGCAAATTTTGGATGGTAACTTGATGCCATCTGTGAAAAAGCTGAAGTTAAAGAGAGGATGGCTTCTACAAATGGATAATGATCCTAAACACACCTCGAAATCCACGGGGGATTACATCAGGAGGCATAAACTGAAGGTTTTGCCATGGCCTTCACAATCTCCTGACCTCAACATAATTGAAAATCTATGGATAGACCTTAAAAGAGCAGTGCGTGACAGACAGCCCAGAAATCTCAAAGAACTGGAAGACTTTTGTAAGGAAGAATGGGCAAAGATACCTCAAACAAGAATTGAAAGACTCTTGGCTGGCTACAAAAAGCGTTTACAAGCTGTGATACTTGCCAAAGGGGGCAGTACAAGATATTAACTCTGCAGGGTGCCCAAACTTTTGCAGACGCCATTTTTTTGTTTTCTGTTATTTTGAAAGTGTAAATGATGGAAATAAAATCTAAATTTTGTTGACATATTATAAGAATGTCTAATCTGTAATTTGATGCCTTTTGGAGATTTTTCCATCTTTCTTTGGCTTCTTTATGCACATTAATACAAATTTTTAGCTGGGGTGCCCAAACTTTCGATCCCCACTGTATATATATATATATATATATATATATATATATATATATATATATATATAAAAATTATATTATTAGTAGTAGTAGTAGTTTTTTCAAAAGACAATGGTCTGTTTTAACTTTTTCTTTCAGTATAGCTAAGACATTTGATTGGCCCATAGAATGCCATGCTGTGCTACTACAGACTTCATAGTGCATGTAAAAAACAATGATGCAATACCACGTAACGTTGCCCTTTTTACTAGGTACAATTGCCAAACTTTGCATTTATTTTTTTGCTTATGCTGAGCACTAGAAATGAAAAAAAAAAAGAAAAAAAAGGAGAAATGAGAAATGCTGTCAGGTGTTATAATACAGAAGGTCATAGTGTAAAGTCTCAGCCAAACATGTTCAGAGACATTATAACCACATTTTATTTTTTCTGTTTCTTTTTCTTTAATCTATTGGTTTGTTTGTAAGCTCTCCTTTAAATATGAGTAGCTTTCATACAGAATTCAAGGGATAAATTAATTGTCAAACATGTCCTCCAGTGATTTAAATGCATGTCAGTGACAACGAATAACACCCCTGCCCATTCAACCTGCTGACACATCTATCTCATTGACTGCTCTTTATAAATGACAGCTCCCAGGCTTGCAGGATAGTGTAGACAAAGGGGCAGGGCAGCCTGGGTGATGTCATTGACCAAATATGTACAACATGAGGAAAATATAGAGTATCAATACAAATTACAAAAAAATGGCTTGATATCAAAAGTTTATAAAGCAGTAGACCATTTTTACAGGTATAAATCAACAGGGAATTGCATAGTCAATGGTAGGAATATCAGATGACAGCGAAAGGCCTTGTAGTCTTCTATTCAGGAGTGAACTTCCTGCTCCTGTGCAACTGGGGATTAATTGACTTTCTAATAACCACCTGCCGGCCACTACGTTTGCCAAAGATAATATTGCATGTCTCAAGTGATTACTTAAGGTCACTCTATACATTAAAATTAATTTATCACCTATATCATAGAGCAGCCAATTGTCCTGGGGAAATCTGCTATGGGGAACACATATACCCAGGGGCGGACTGACCATTTGGAAACTCGGGCACTGCTGGGTCAGTAGGGGGCCCCATGAGATGCCCCTGGTACCTTTTCCATAGGCTTTTTTGAGTTTGGGCAAGGACATAGGGACCCCATGATCCCCTATTGCCCGGGGGCCCCATGAGTTGTCAGTCCGCCCCTGCATATACCGTATTTTTTGCTCCATAAGACACACTTCCCCCCCCCCAAAAAATGGGGAAAAAAATGTCTGTGTGTCTTATGGAGCGAATATGGAGTGGCTGGTCCGGTATTCCCGCCGCCGCCGTGTTAGAATACCATGCCAGCCGCTCAGCTCTCCTGTGCAGAAGAACCTGCTCCTGGGTCCTACCTGTTCCTCGGTCCTGCTTTCACCGGTCGTCTTCTCTCCTCGGCGCCGAAATCTTCAGTGTGGACACCCGGCTGTGACAGCTTGCGGCTTCACAGCCAGGTGCCCACTGCACATGTGCAAGAAGCGCTGTGCTTTGTGAATGGCCACCTGTAGTCTTCTGGGACCTGTCACATGTCCCACAAGACTACAGGGAGGACAACTCCACAGAAGTGGGAGTGGGTACCTGTCAAATTCGGGCTCTCCAAAGGTCTTCAGTCTCTAGTCATATCCTGTACTATGTCCGCAGTCTCTGGTCATCTCCTGTAGTATTTCCACAGTCTCTGGTCATCTCCTGTAGTATTTCCGCAGTCTCTGGTCATCTCCTGTAGTACATCCGCAGTCTCTGGTCATCTCCTGTACTATGTCCGCAGTCTCTGGTCATCTCCTGTACTATGTCTGCAGTCTCTGGTCATCTCCTGTACTATGTCCGCAGTCTCTGGTCATCTCCTGTACTATGTCTGCAGTCTCTGGTCATTTCCTGTACTATGTCTGCAGTCCATTGGTTCAGAATATTATTTTTCTTGTTTTCCTCTTGTAAAATCTTGGTGCATCTTATGGTCAGGTGCATCTTATGGAGTGAAAAATACGGTAAGCTATACCGACAGTAAACTGTAGAGATTTACATGTGATCATTTCAAAGATTAATGATCATTAACCATTTGAAGATTGGAGATAAGGTCTTTCCTGCATTCTTTTGGCCATAATGTGAAATTTTATCAAGCCATATAGCCACCTTATTAAATTCTGCAATTCCTTCCAAAGGAGTTTGTGGCTACATTTCATGTTTCATGCTTAATCAATATAATGAATAGGATATCCCTATTTTCTTAAGCTTTTGTATGTCATCTGGGGTATATAAAATTACTCTTTCTATTTCATATTTTCACTTTAAAGCTGAAATCCAGTTAGACCTAAAATTAGGCTGTGATTCACATTCCTCCCATCCTTTCCCCGCCCCCCTAACTGGCCGCACTGCACTTTGTCTATGGGGTAAGGGACAGGCAGCAATATTTACCTTATTCCTCCCTCTTTCAACCTTTTCCCCTGTTGTACAATCGGTCCCATAAAGTTACTCCTCTTTATTACACATCCAGCCCCCCAATGTCATCAGGCACAATGCAATGCAGGACCAGTGGATTGAGGGCCAGTCCACATACTGAAAGCATCAGAGACTATAGAAGTACTGCCAGGGAAGCAAGGAATAAGATAAGCGTTACTGTTCAGCTGTTGTAGTTCAGCTTTAAGTCACCAATTATCACACACCACAAGAGAACTGATAACAATCTTCTTATAATACAGGCATAGCATTTAACAGTCAGTGAACATGATTTGCATAAAGTTAGAAACCATATTTCTGGGCACATGTTAACTGCAACAATACAAGAATTAACTCTTAGGGGACTGCCTGCAATGTTTTAGTGCCACAATATTTATACCTCTCCAATGCACACAAAATAGAATTTTGCAACAGACTTTTATTAGGAAGTGCAGCTGGTATAGTAGCCTACTTGGCAACCTCACTCCACAGTGATGGACTTCTGAGAATCTAATGATGAGAATGTGTAAGCATGATGAATGATCATACTATGGTGGGATATTTGATAAGATATTAGACTTAAATAGCTATTTTGTGCACAATACACGTACAAGATGGCTCAAATGAATATATGCCAACTTAAAAATGGATGTTTACAAACAATTAGATTAATTTTCCTAATTGGAATTATAAATTGTGGATGTGCATGAAAATGAAAGCTTTTAGGAATGCAGAGCATAACTTTAAATACAAGGCATACACTTTCTATTGCATACTTGAAATTATTTAATGCTTCTCTAATAAGAGAAACATATGGACATTGATTTGCACGAGTTAGTTAAAGTCAAGGGTGTGGTGACAAAGCTATGCATGTTTGAACAATGAGGCTTTATGGAATATAAGGCACCAACCACTGCCTGGGATCTTTATAAGCTATGAGTTTTATGAGGAAACCACCTGGCTAACAGAATTATATATTTGCAAGTTTTACCTTTTTTAAAAAAATTATTGTGAAGCAAAAGACTCATCACATAAATATCTTTTCTAATGGCTATTACTAATCTGAGCTAGTTAAACAGATGAGTATGATAATGTGCTCTTTTCCTGATAAAAGGAAACATTTTGGTAGAGCTCTGTAAAATTGTTTTAATTTTACTTTTACTTAGTTTGTTTTAATTCAATAGATAAAATATATGCTTTAAAAAAATATACATCTTTTGCTGATCAAATAAGAGCTGGGTATATAACTAGTTTTTGTTACAGAAACTAAAGCTTTTTCAGTTCAATCATTTTATTTTTCTTTTATTCTAACTACAGTATCTGTACTTGCAGCATTTTTTATTTGTACAGAACGTGAACTGTATATATAGTGAATATATAATACTTTTGTATTTAAAAATATATATTCACATCTAAATAGGGGTCTATTTGTAAAAAAAAAAAAAAAACATAACCATTTGCTCAGCAAATCTTCATGTACATTTCTGTGTGAATTGAGCAAACATGAATGCTCTCTAGGCCAGTGCTTCTCAACCTGTGGAACCTCAGGACGCACATTTGTCCTTGGTCATTAACTCGAGACCCAAAAATAATTTAATTTCGGACACATTATAATTTATTCCACAAAACAACTTGCGCAGTATTCTACAATGTATATGTACTTTTAAACAGTAAATAAACGGCTTTCTTCCAAAATGGATAGTTTAGCAATCACAACGCTGATGAAAATGAAAGTGCTGTGTAGGTAAAAACCCAATAAAATAAATGGTAATTGAAAGATATGAAATTAATTAGAACTAAGAGGAAAACGTAGGATGCTTCTTGCTCTTGATAAGTGCCTCAAAGGCTGGGGTGATAATAGGGGCATTAGAGAGGCCTGGGGGGGCACTTGCCCTGCGGCCCAGTCTGCCCCTGGTCACAATCCACTTTTGGGTCATGACCCATTACTTGAGAAGCACTGCTGTAGGCTATTTTCTCTTCTAAATGCATATTCTTTTATTATGGACTGTAGTAAACTATTGCATTATGGCCACAAGATAGAGCTGAGGAGCATAGCAAACACGTGTCTTTGTAAGAAGCTATACAATATAACGGTCTTAGAAAATGCTATAGTGAATCAGCAAATAAATATAGCCATTCTGCCATCCTGACATAATTTGTTGTGGTCCCAGGCCCATAGAAGGCGCACGAGAACTCTACAGCCACCAAGCTCACTTTTACAACAAAGTCCAGAGACTAGTAATTAAATACAAAAATATGCTCACAACTGCTACTGCAGTCATCTGCCAAATGCACTTGCTGATAATCCTCCTATGTGATAGCACTTTTTGAGTAAGAAAGGGAGACATCATTGGTCTTTTGTACCCTGATGCCACCCCTGCCCTTTGCCAAATCTGATTGAGGATACAGGGTCTCCTAGCCAGGAATTGATGGCTCTGAACCTGGAAGTGCTTGAAGCACAGCACATCTAGGTTCATAATTTACAGGAAAAATAGAGGAATAGATTTTCCTCTATCTCTCCTCTTTCACCATCTTGATATATTTTTTTTCCCAGGAGAAGCAGGTGAGCCTGGGAATCATAAAGGAGAAACTTGTAACAGCACTGCTGGTGTGATTGACTAGCTGTACAGTTATTGCAGCAGTGAGTTTGTGTTTGTGCTGCTATAACTTTGCCCTATCCCTTTCTAGGAGATTTCCAGTCATTTCCTATCTTGTCAGATCCCATGGATAGTGAGTAGAAATGATCCTTTCGAGGACAGAGTTAGTAATGAACACTTTGATAATTTACTAACCCTGTTGCAGCCAACAAAAATTGTTTTTATTATTGTTTGTTTTCCCACTCGGGTGATTTACACTCTCTCCCTTCTGTGTGACACTCATCAAATAGACAGTGAGTAAGGTAAAATTTAACATACTTGTATTTTAACCCCTTCACAGTTACATTGTTAGTCTGGTTAAAAAAAGACCAAAGTCCATCTAGTGCAACCAATAAAAAGGAAAAGAAAATTGTACAATCCTATATACACAATCCTACACCCATAGTTGATCCAGAGGAAGGCAAAAAAAACCCTGAAAAGCATGAACCAATTTGCTCCTGCAGGGAAAGAATTCCTTCCTGATCCCCCAAGAGGCAAGCGGATATTCCCTGGATCAACTTTACCTATACATGTTAGTATCCAATTATACTGGGTGTATTTAGGAAATAATCCAGGCCTTTTTAAAGCAATCTACTGAGCTGACCATAACCAGCCCTTGAGGGAATCTATTCCACATTTTTTGCTGCTCTTGCTCTTACTGTGAAAAAAAACTGTTTTCCATTATTATTACACAGGATTTATATAGTGCCAATAGTTTGTTCAGCGCTTTACAATATAACGGGAGACGATACAGCAACAATACAGTTCAATACAAGAGGGTTAGGAGGGCCCTGCTCCTCTAGACTTAAAGAATGCCCCCTTGTCTTCTGTGATGACCTTACAGTGAATAACTCTACACCAAGTTCACTATATGGACCACTTATGTATTTATACATGTTGATCATATCTGTAAGGGAATTCCTGTACGGCGACTGGCGCATAGAAATGCCCATGTGCACAACATCGCGCATAGAAATGAACACAGGTGCATTGCTAACAAAAATTAGCATAGGCTTGCGCATGCGTGAAAGAATGTGCGCACACGGGTGCACGCACGTGGGAGCGTGCCCACAGTTTCTGGCGCTAAACAGACTATTTAAAGGAGGCTCTTACTCTCTGTCAGTGCTGACTTGTCTTTAGCTAATTCCCTGTGTCCTGCTGTACCCTGCTGTATCCTGTGTGTTATCTGTTACTGACCCAGCTTGCCATTGACCTGCTCTTGGATTCTATTTTTGCTTCTGCTCATCGGTTTCTGATCCTGGCTTCCTCCTGACCACGTCCCTGTCTGATGTTACGGTACCTCATCACCTGTTCATTGTTGACCCTGGCTATTACTCTGACTACGCTTCCGGCTCCAGTTTGGCTCTACAGTCCTGCTGAGTGCTTGTCCTGGTTATCTATTATATCAGCTCTGGTTGTCACGGTGTGTTAAGGCCTCATGCTTATCAGAAGTTCCAGCAAGCCACGTACCCAGATCTTGCAGTTCCAGTGGAGTGCTTCCTTAACCTCAACTGGCCGTGCTGGCATATCCTCTCTTCCTCTGTTCCACCTTCAGTGGGGCCTGGGCTAGAGATGCAAGAGAGGCTGGCCTTGTCAATTCAGACTTCTATCAGGTACATGACAATATCCCCCTTAATCTCCTCTTCTCAAGAGAGAATATATTCAGTTTCTCAAATCTTTCCTCATAGCTGAGTTCCTCCATGCCTCTTATCAGTTTGGATACCCTACTCTGCACTTTCTCCAGTTCCCCGATATCCTTTTTGTGAATTGGTGCCCTAAACTGAACTGCAGATTCCAGATGAGGTCTTACTAATGATTTGTACA